CACAGATAAATTCCAGATACTCTAGCTCAACTCGGATAAATCCAGCCCTAAGTACCTATTCAGAAATGGGTAGCAAAGCAAACAGAGGACTAAGACTATTACAGTGTAGGAAGTCATTTAGCCCATCATATTTGTACGAGTCAACCAAGATCTGACTACACTAATCCCATTTTCCAGCTCTTGGTCCTTAGCCCTGGAGGCCAAATCAACACAGGTGACTATTTCAAATCTCCCAGTGATTAAAATTTTCAACTTTATTCTTAGCTTTGTAGACCTTATCCTAAATCCGGCTATTAATCTCTCTACTAATGGAATTAAGTGTCTTCCTATCCATCCCATCTATGATCCAATAATCTCACATAGTTGAGGTCCCCTCTCAACCTTCACTGCTCCAAGGAAAACAGTTCCAGCCTATCCAATCTTTATAGCACAGACTCTCCAGCCCAGTAGCATCCTAATACATCTCCTCTACACCCTCTTTAGTACATCCTTCTTATAATGATGTCGTGACCAGAAACGCATGCAGTACGCCAGCTGTAACTTAACCAATATTTTTATACAGTTTCAATATAACCTCCCTGCTCTTGTATTGTGCTGCAGCTAAAAAAAAAGGCATGCGTCCCGTATGCCACCTTAACCTCATCTACTTGTCCTGTTACCTTCAATGATCTGTGAAAATGCATTCCGAGGTCTCTCAGGTCTCAGTATTTTTATGGTCTTGGCATTCATGATGTAATCCCTTGTCTTGCTAGCAATCCTGAAGCATATTTCCTCACAGTTTTCCAGGTTGAAATCCATTTGCCACTGCTCTAACCACGTGACTAGTCGGTTATCCTCCTTATTTACCACCCTACCAATTTTCGTGTCATTTGCAATTTTCTTGATCACACCTCAAATTTAAATCCAAAGCATTAATTAATACACAAGCAGTAAGGGCCCCATCGGCCAGTTCTAAGGAACTCCACCGGAAACAGATTTCCAGTTTCAGAAACATCTCTCCACCATCGCGCATTACTTCCTGCCACTCAGTCAATTTTGGATCCAATGTGCCACTGGGATTTGGTTCCCATGGGCTCTTCTTTTCTTGACCAGTCTGCCACGAGGGAGGTTGAAGTTGAAGTTGAAGTTGAAGTTGAAGTAGACCAAATGCAACACTCCTGGTTACCTCTTAAGAACAGATTTTCAAACATGACCTTCCCTTAAATCCATGCTGACTGCACCCATTAAATCCCTGTCTCTGCAAATGCAGATATATTCTGTGCCTCTCAATTCTTTCCACTGAGGTTAGAGTGACCGACCTAGTCTAACCAGTCTTCCGATTTGGAATAATGGGATAACAGCAGCAGTTTTCCAGGCCGTTTGCACTTCATCTGTGATATTACAATTCTGTACTTTCCTAATCCCACCCTCAATTTTTTCCCCAAAAGTAATAGTTTAAAGTCCCAGCAAATACCCAAGCACTAGCTGATAAAGTATTACCAAATTTGGAGACAGGGATAAAAAACACCCAGTTATGTAATCACAAATCCAAGCAACTGAGTGAAAGGCATTAGGAAAGTCAATCACCCACTCATTTCCTTAATTGAGATCATTTTTTTTAAAAAAAATTGATTTGTTTCCCCACCTAGTTTCCTTAAAACTATATGATTGCAATTGTACTTCAATATTTGCATTAAAAGTTGACAAACAAATACTTGAAAGAAATTTAAATTTACACAATAAAAGCTAAATAATGCAGATGCTAGAAATCCGAAATAAAAAACAGGAAACATTGGAGAAACTCAGCAGGTCTGAGATAATTTGTGTAGAAAGGAATAGAGTTAATATGTCAAGCTCAATAAGACTCTTCCAGCATTTTCTGTTTTAATTTTAAAATGTATAAATTTGCTTTGTTTGTTGCTTAGAAATTAATGTGGAAAAATCCAACTATAACAATACATGCCATTCACGGTGTACCTCAAAATTCAAATGCAAAAATAATACATGGACATAGATATTACCTTGACATGTGTTGGATATTGATGCTCCTCTGACTAAGTTTGAGGTACCAGTACTCAAGGAAGCTGCAGGTTGATGAACAGGGACACCAACAGTCAATTCATTCCTTTCGGAAAGAGTCTGAGGTGGTGTCTGTAAAAGCGCCTGTGTCCCAATGCAAGCTGGGAACCAAAAAAATGTAACTGCTATTAATGTTTTGAGAACAGAGATTGTCACTGTTGCTGAAAACTTGCTTCACTGGAATTTTGGGTGGCTGTAACCTTTAATTGGACAATAACACCTTCTGTTCGCTGACCCAAGCCTATTAATTTGCAATTCACAACAGCTCAATATAACGAGTAATCATACACTTGAAAACCTCATGGAAACTCCCTATTAAGCAAATATCCCCAGTAGCTAAGTAGACAGTCATTGCTATCTTTTTGTACATATGTATGCATTTTCACAATTTAGCGGTATTTCATCTCCCTTCTCAGTTTCAGGTTCGTATCCAATATGTGAACAGCAGAAAGGAGTTACAGGATGAATATCCTAAGAAAAAGAAATCGTATACATTAAATTCAAAGGGGAAACAATATAGTTATCTTGTTTCAGCATTCTTTTGGTTACTTTTCCAAAGCCAGGCATCATACAAATTGCCTTCAAGTTCAGAAAATGGGCATATCAAACATTATGAAGTTTAGATTTCAAAATAAGGAAAATCTTACTTTTACTTCCATCACTGTGCTGTTAAATCAGAAAGGACTGAATGAGATGAATGACCTTTAGTACATGCAAGCACACAATAATCTTTTTATATTCATACTTAAACCACCCCTCCTCCACATACTCTAAACAAATACCCGCTATTGTGGCTGGAGATTAATGGCTATTGGAGGTTTTTCAGCATTCTGTACATATAGACATTAGCAAGACCTAAATAAGGCAATGCTAACTGTCCACTGAAATCTTATACCACCCTTTCAAAGTTGCCCGTCACTTGCAGCTAAAAACACTTGCTGTTAGTGACACAACTCGGAAGATTTGCTGGCTAAGTCTATACACATTTATATTCCTTGCATTGGTATAATTGTAGCAACACTTTGCAAACTCCCAGGCCTCCATAAATTCAGCCTGACATATTCTCAAAACCTCACTAAACAGATGGAAAAATTTACCATTTCCTAACCAAGAGAAAGCAATACTGGGGGGACACAGATGACAATGGTTTTAAATATTTCCAACTCATAAAAGTGAAAGCATCCATGTACTGCTACAGGCTAATTAAGCCTAACTGCAGACAGAGAAGAGACACAAAGTAAAGTGACTAATTTAGAATTTAGAGATAGTAGGAACTGCAGATGCTGGAGAATCCGAGATAACAAGGTGTAGAGCTGGATGAACACAGCAGGCCAAGCAGCATCAGAGGAGCAGGATGAAGGGTCTAGGCCCGAAACGTCAGCCTTCCTGCTCCTCTGATGCTGCTTGGCCTGCTGTGTTATCCAGCTCTACACCGTGTTATCTTTAATTTAGAATTTAGTTTATTTAAAGAAATGAAAATACTGAATTAAATACTATAGCTTTACATTTTCTTGATATTTTATTTTTTTTTATGCTAAGTTAATGCACAGTAGTAGATAACTAACCGCTCATATTTGTGGCAAGAATGCTGTATTGCATAGTCAAAGGTATGAGTTTGTCCATAACATTTTACATACTTTGCAGCATCGAATAAAATTCAAACGAATGAGGGAGGCAGTGAGAAGCAACTTTCTGCTAAACATTTCAGCACCACATTATCACTGCAGCATCAAGTAAAACGAAACCAATTAAAGGCTCAGTAACAAGTGAAATTAGTTACTTTATTCAGGAAGAAATGAGAAAACTTGAACTGAATAAATCTGTCAGTCAATCATTTGATAAACACAGAATCATTTTGGGAGCCTTTCCATCACGAATCTACTAGAAACTGTGTGGAGGAACACGTTCTAATTTAGTAGGAAACAAAAAACAAGTTATATGCTCTAATCTTATAAATGGAGCATTTTTAAAAACAGAAAGGGTACTGGAGGTAGCCCTGGAGTTATACATAGAGTGTAATGCACTAGATAGAAAACAGTTACAACGAGCAGCTTGTTAAAATTGAAAGCAGTTAGGATATAAGAGAAGTAGACCATTTGGCCCAGTGAGTCTACCCTACTATCCAATGAGATTGTGGCTGATCTGATAACCCCCAACTTCACTTTCCTGCTTGATAGCCACTCGCTTGATTCCTTTACTGATTAAAAATCTCTCAGCTTTGGATATACATACTTACTCAGCCTCAACAGCCCTCTGTGGAAAGGAATTCCACAGATTCACAACCCTCAAAAGAAATTCCTCCTCAACTCTGCCTTAAAATATGTGACCCCTTATTCTGAGATTATGCACTTTGGTCCTAGACTCTCCCACAATGGGAGAAACTACTTTTCCACATCTACCCTATTAAGTTCTTTAAGACTCTTTTGTTTCAATAAAGTTGTGCTTCATTCTTCTATATATCAAAGAGCACAGGCACATCCTACTCAACTTCTCTTCATAATACAGTCCCATCGTAACTGATATCAGCCTTCAAAGCCAGTATATCTTTCCTTAGATAAGTGACCAATAAGTTCACAGTATTGCAGCTCTGGTCTGACTGCATTGTATAATTTTATCAAAGCTCTCTACTTTTATGCTCCATTCCTTTTGAAATAAAGTTCAACATTCCATTTGCCCTCCCTTTTTCCGACCTAACCTAGATGCTCATGTTTTGTAATTCAGGCAAGGACTGCCGTATCCCTCTGTTCTGTCGCTTTCTGAAGTCTTGCTCCTCCCCTCTTCCTGTTAAGGTGCATAACCTCACATTTCCCCACACTGAAATAATTCCACAAAGGCTGGTATCCGTCAAGTTACCCTTTACTTACACACAAACAATCCTTGACTTTAGTACTGCCTCATTCAGAGTGAGCTACTGGAGTGTCAGCATCTCTGAAACTGGTCTTTTTATATGTCAGCCATGGCTCCCTGATTGGACCAAATTAATAGCCCCAATCAGGGAACCTATTCTGCGAGGTCCAATCACTACATCCCACCCCTTTTAGTCTGAGGACATAGGCTGGTCCGTTCTTTTGGAGAGCATCCTGGGGAGTTTTAGCACCAGGTCAGGGTCCTCTGATTCGGCGTCCAATACAGGCGGTGGGTACACATGGAGCTCGCCTCTTGCGCCAGGATCACCTTGGTAGAATTTCATTCTCCTCTTATGGCGGCCATGGCATTGAGGCAGCTGCATCTGTAATGTCCTTCTCCGATTCTGAGGACTTGTCAACACTTAAAGGACGAACTCATGGGTTCCGGCAGCCTTTCTGACTGTGCCAAAGGGTAGGGCACAATTTGCTCCTGCACCATTTGCAAATTCATGGCTTTCATATGATTCTTGTGCATATTCAGGACTGCACCTGCCTGAGCTTCATACGTCATTGATCCTGACCTTGTGCCAACCATGCCTCTTACCCATGTGGAGCCACTTCTGTGATTCTTACACCAAATGTCACCCCTGTTTTCAAACTGTCTCACCTGCTTGGCCAAGTTTTATGCCCAGCATTGGCATTCCTGATGGCATTTCACACTTAAGTCCAGGAAGAGGAGACTTAACCTGGTATGGAGTCTTTTACCCATTAGCAATTCTGCCAGTACTATCTCTATAATCGCACCTGGGGTGGTTCTATAATCAAATAAGAACCCTGTCGGAATGTAGCAAGGCTGTAGGCTGTTTCGTCAAGCTCGCTTTCAAAATTTGGACTGCTCTATCTGCTAGGCCATTGGATGATCAGTGGTATGGAGCTGTCCTTGAAATTTGAATCTATTAGACTTTAGGAAATAAACAAACTCCATGCTAGGAAACGATAGCCTGTCATCTGTGTATCGAAAAAGATATGCAGAGTTTTTCAGTTGTGGTCTCCGTGTTTGATGAATGGATCCTATGCCATCCAATCATTTACAGTGGGTGTCTACAATGACGAAGAACATTTACACCCGTGAAAGGACCTGCATAGTTGATATTTGACTGTGTTCAAGGCATACCCCAACACAAAGATAACTGTGAGCAAGCTTCTTCAGGATCATGCTTTGTGTCACAACTGAAATAACTCCACAGAAGCCAGTATCCATCACCAAGTCACCCTTTATTTACACATGAATGGTCCTTGACTATAGAACTGACTCAGAGTCAGCCACCACAGTGTCAGCATCTCTGATACTGTCCTCTGTGTGTTAGCCAGGGCTCCTTCATTGGCCCAGATTAACAGCCCCAACCAGGAAATTATGAGGTACAGCTGGCTGATTTTAAAATAATCAACAAATGCAGAGCTGAGAAAGCACAGCAGGTCAGACAGCATCCGAGGAGCAGGAAAGTCAATATTTTGGGCTGAAACTCTTCAAAAGGGTTTCAGCCCGAAACGCTAACATTCCTGCTTTTTGGATGTCATCTGACCTGCTGTCCTTTTCTAGATCCACTTTTATCAACTCTAGCTTCCAGTATCTGCAGTCCATACTGGTCTCCCTGACTTCATTATAATCACTACACATATTACATTTAACCTGCCCATATCCCTCTGCAGAGATTTTGTCATCTTCACCACTTGCCTTCTCGCCTATTTTTCCATCATCTGAAAGTGTGGTGAAAATTTGGAAAATTTCACTTCCCTCATCTAAATCATTAATATGTATTGTAAATAATTGTGTGCCTGCACCGATTCCTGTGGCACTCCACTAGTTATAGATTGCCCTCCTGAAAATGCCCCCTTATCTCAACTCTTATCTTCTACTCGTTAATGAATATGCTATCAGTGCAATATACGACTTCCCACACCATTGAAGGTTCTTATCTTATGAAGTACTGTGCTTTATCAAATCCTTCTGAAAATCCAAATATATTACATCCACTGCTTCCACTTCATCTATCCTACTTGTTATCTCTTCAAAGAATTCTACTAAAGTTGTCAGGCCGGATTTTCTTTTCACAAAGCCATGCTGACTCTGCTTGATCAGCGTCTTCATTTCTTACCTCAACCCATGGATTCTACATCTTCAGTCAGGATTATTTCTTGCTATTGTACTATTTTTGTCCCATACCAACATGCTATCCTACCACTCTTTCCTTGCTGCCTGTCTTTTCTGAAAAGTCACATATCCCTGAATATTTAGTTCCAGCTTTTGACATCCTTGCAATCATGTCACCATAGTGGCTATAAGGTCGTTCCCACTAACCTAAATTTATGCAGTTAATTTATCTATTTTATTTGAAATAATCCATGCATTCAAGAGCCATTAATTTTCTCTTTTTACCAATATTTCCTCCTTTGACCTTAGGTACTGCTGTTTTTCTATATTGCTGTACTCTGTCCTTTTCTATCCTACTCTGGCATCGTTATCCAAATAGGTGCTCTGTAATTCTACCATATCCTCTTACTTTGTAAGCCTACATTTCTCTCTCAATCTTTTTTTGAGAGGCCTTTGCTTGCAATATTTCAGATTACTTGAAAGTAAATACAAACAGAAAAGGTACTTCTAAATTCCTCACATAAACAATGAGATTTCTTTCTAAGAAGGGAATCCAAATCGTAACTGATTACAAAGAAGGGCAACACAAACAATAGCACAGAAAATGCAGGATGTCGTTTGAAGTAGAATATATATGTTTTTAAGAGAAACCTCCCCCCCCCCCCGCCACCAATTTGAAATGTGTCATTTCGAGCTTCAAGTTAGAAACAAAATTTTAATTGCATATTGATAACCCAGACATCCCAAGTGCAAAGATGAATGGCATTGAATACAAATATTTAATTCTCAGTTTCAGCACGACATAACCATCTGTACAAATGCTAAAATTTCCATTCTTTCCCCACACCATTCAGACACAATGAGACAGACAATCTATGTGCTTACCACCAGGAGTGTTAATTGGGGAAACTCCAGATTTGGCTGCAGGATTCTGAGCATTCACTGTATGTACTTGCGCATTAGGTAGAGTAGATGATCCATTAGGAAAAGCTGGCTTTACCAAAAGTTCAAGTTTCTGTGGGGCACGAGGCAAGGTAGATGACTGGATATAGGGTCCAACTGCAGCTACTCGGCTGGGTGCAGAAGATACTACTTGTTGAGGGACATTTTTGTCGGATGAAACCTAAGTATAAAGTTCAGTTAATCAACACTTACGTTCTAAATTTATTCAGCAGTTAGCTTAGTCCATTACCCACCGTATGTAACCTCAAAAAGAGCCCTTTGCAATCTGATTTCAGTCAACCAATAAACTGGAGTTTACCTAACTTGTAATACCAAGCCTCTTTTCCTTTTTATCGGGCCAAGCCAGTAATTCAAACTTCAAATTCTTGGTACAGCTTGAAGTTAATTATCGTTACAAGCAGGATCTATATACTTTCGACCTGTAACAGATATAATGTACTCTGACCAAATATTATATAATGGTTAAAGCAGTTCTTTCACTACGAAGCCAAATCAGAATCCTTTCTAAAGGACAGAAACTTGCCTCTTCATGAAGATTGGGTGAATCATAAAAACACAGATTTCAAGTATGAATTCACTTACCCAAGAGTTCAACTCAGCAAAAATTTGTAATCTATTTTGTAAACCTGTTTATACTTAGCACACTTCGTCGGATTCAAAATTTTGGATTATCTACAAAGTTTGCCAATCATTTGCCAATGAATTTAAAATGACAGTATTATACCTTGAAGTCAACAGCAATTAGATGCTTTTATAAAGCTGTACGGATTCCCCATCCATTGACTGAATCAAATGTAATATTTCTAAGTTTGCTAATGACACCAAACTTGGTGGGATCAAGAGGCAAGAAATACACGGCTCGTTCAATTTTACTTGAATAAGTGAAAAGTTGTCTACTTTAGTAGCATAAACAGAATGGCAGAGTATTATTTAAATGGTGAGAGGGAGGAAAATGTAGATGATGTAGAAAGGGACCTGGAAGTCTTTGTATACTGGTTACTGAAAAACAAGCATGCAAGCTTTTTGGAAGGCAACTAGCATGTTATCCTTTATTTTAAGATGGTTTGAGGCAGAAGCAAGAAGTTTCATTGCAGCTGGGGTCTTGGTGAGAGTGCACCTTGAGTATTGTGCGCAGTTTTGGGGTCTTCTTCCCAATTAAATATAGACCTGCCACAGAGAGTTCAGCAAAAGCTCACCAGGCACTCCTGCGATGATAGGTTTGTCCTATGAGAGGTGGGTGATTGACAGGGCTTCTACTGTCTAGAAAGAAGAAGATTGAGAGAGAATCTCTTTGAAACATAAAATTTTGACAGGGTGGACTCACTGCATGTAGGAATGAGGTTTCTCCTAGCTTCAGAATTCAGTAGTCACGGTCTCAGATACACAGCAGGTCATTTCAGACCGAGATGAAGAGAAATTTCTTCACTCAAGAGGGTGATGAACCTGTGGAATTTGCTACCCCAGAAGACTGTGGAGGTGACGTTATTGAATATGCTTAAGAAGAAATAGATTCAGAGGTTAAAAGCATCAAGTGTATGGGGAGAAAGCAGAAGTATGGCACTGAGAGAGAGGATCATCCATGATCGTCTTGAATAGCGCTGACAGCTGGTCGGGCTGAATGGCCAAATCCATTTTCTACGTCTCAATATTAGAATTAGAAAATTAAATATTAACCAGCACTGGGGTCTCAGCTCAAAAGATGCTAACACTGTCAGGTCAGAAATAGCAGAGTAATAGCTCCCATATATTTCACAATCTCCAAGATGAATTTCTCAGTGTACCAAAATCTCTCTCATGTCAGTTATCCTTGTAGTTCTCTATTTAAAACAGATAATCCCATCAATTATAAATAAAAATTAGCCAAGTTTTAGATTTCTCTATTCTCCAGGATGCTGCCTAACCCTGCCGGTGTTTCTAGCATTTCTGTTTATTCAGAAGCAAATTTATTTGTCTTTTATCTGCTAAATGTTATACATTGTCATTAATGACATCGAGTGAGGGGCAGAGGGGGAGGGAAAGAGTTGAAAATTATCTCAGAAACAGCATTTGAAACTGATCAATAGAATGCTCTGTCATAATGACTGCAGGTAATCGATGATGAATATACCAAGATAATAAGAATTAGGTTAGAATTTACCATAAGACATTGTGCAGGAAAGGAACAAACTTGGTGTTGTTGGTGGTGTTGGTGTTGGTGGGGGTAAGAAGGGTGGCATGGTAAAAGGGGAACCATTAAGAAAGAAAATTGTATAAGCTTATTTTGTTCAAGTAGTATAAGGTGAATGCACATCTAGGTGTAAATGTGGTCTGTCCGCTAACAATAGTCATTTGCAAATTACTCATTATTTCTACATAGAAAAAAGCAGTGACTTTAACTACTGACTCGGTTATTCACTCAAGCAAAGAATGCAAGTTATTTTCTACCAATTATTCTATGCATGCAGTAAACTGTCACTGGTGCACCATCGAGAATTTATGCATTTCCAAGTAATACATGCTTGTGTGGACATAACTAAGTGCATTTGCTGTTTTACTTGAAAAATTTTCAACCTACCCCACTCATCAATATTCTAATATAAAATGAAAGCTCTGTTGAACAAAAATGCTGTCATGGAGTGGGAGAAAAGACTGTTGGAACATAAATGTTAGCACTGTTTATGGAGGTTGCCACAGCTTGTGGGTAATAGAAACTCCATGATCACAATTTATCTAGTTACAAAATTTATGTATATTTATATACACACACACACACACACACACACACACACACACATATATATTAAAGACATGAAATATTATTTTTTAGGAAGCTATCCACAGGATAGGAAAACAGAATAGGGAGCAACTACTGAACATGACTAGCAACTAGTTGAGCTGCACTGAAGCAACGAGTAACATTTTTTCATTCATTTGTTCATGGAACATTGATGGCTAAGCCAACATCAACTGCCCATCCCTAAGCGCTCGAGATGGCAATGGTTAGGCCCCCCAAGGGGCAACGCTGGGAGCTGATATTGACATTGTGCATCATTGAACGGGAATAGAATTAGGACTGTGAGTACTTGCTGAAGACATCAAGAAATGTCAGGTATGTGGACAAATAATAGCAGGTGTCGAGGGTACAACAAAAATTTTTGGAAAGTTGGATTTGGAAACATTAAAATAAAATTCAGGATGAACAGTCTAAAGACAAGAGACAAATGTAGGTGGTGAACAAAGCATGGCACTATAAAATAAATCATTTTAGCCTACAAGATATACCATTTGAAGGCACTATCTTTCAATTAAGATCATCAAATGCAAATATGGATCTTTGTGATCTTCATGATCCTTGCAAGTACTGACCATTTGAAGCCTAGAAAATTTCTATGAAGTCCCCCAAAGACAATACAAGAGATGAGTAACAACATGCAGAAAAAGAAAGGTGAACAGGCAGATCAGATCTCACAGTGAAAACTTAATGTTTGGAATGTAAATCAAAGCTGATAACTTTAAGGGTTTCCAGATTGTATTGCAGAGGCGAGAACAATAATCGGGGATTAGTAGCAAACTGTGTTTCCAAATTCTGGGTCTGCCAATTGCCAAAAATGGTCGGCTTGAGCCTGTACGGTACTCTCTTTTGGTATCAACATTAACACTTTGCAAATAATAAAAAAATAGTGTATGCTGATCAGGAAGGTAAAGTGAAAAATGGAGGGACTCTAGGACTCAGTCTGGGGACTACCTGTAGTCACCTTCAACCTGGTCACGGTTAACACTGATGCTGTTGGATATATAGAGCTGTTTGCCACTAAGACTGATCAGTAGGAGAATTAAGTGGCTGCAGAATGGCTTTTGGGTAGTCCCTGCCATTTGAAAAATTCTGTACTAACATTAAAAATCTTTTGCAATGCAACACTATGTTGCTAATAAGTTGCCAACCTAATGCAGACATGAAACTTACTGGCACATTCTCTTTTTGTTGTAATGCTGCCTTCTTTTTCCACAAGCGCTCACGCAGATCCCCAATACGTCTATCCATTGATGCAACTTCAGAGTTCCGCTTGTTTAAGGACTCTCTTTGATGCTGAAGCTTTGCATTCTGCTCCTGGTTCAATTTATTTCTTGCCTGATTATGACACAGAAATAAGCAAGTTTTGCTTTCATCGAGTAAAAATAAAGACAACAATTATGAATTCTAGTTAATTTCCAACTGTCTAGAAAAGCAAATAACAATCATTTTGCTGTTACTGTATTCAGCAAGATGTCTACAGGAGTTTTAAAATTACTGCCCTCCATTGAAACACTTTAAATCTTTAGCATTGAAGCACAGCAATAAATTAGTTGATTTCCTGAGGCACTGTACGTAGGATAACAAAGCCAAGGGCCATTTGCGGATCATGAAGGAATGGAGATCAAGAATTCATCACCTAGAAAGCAGAGAAAGTGAAAAGGGAAGAAGACAGTACATCTACTTCAAACTTCAACTCAGCAACAGAAGAGGTGGAACAGATTTTCTATCACCTTGTGACTACTTAGAACCAGGAGGGTTTTTTCACTTACTACCCATCAAATTCAATTCTGCAGTGGGAGAAGGAATAAGTTCCCGCCAATGAATTGTGACTCACTGAGGCAGAGGAGGAGGAGGAACGAAGCTTTTCAAGGAGTTTGTATCATTATCATCAGAAACGAAGGGTGAGAGCAGATAGGTCACATGGAGCAGAAACTGACTTTGCAGAAACAGAAGGGGTTGGGAGAGAAGATCAGTTCAAGATGGGAAACTAAGGGTGACTGAGAAAGTAATTAAAACAGAAAGCCCTGCAGCCAACAAATAGCTTCAAAAGCTTTAATACCACTCATTTCAGCAAAGGTAGAATTCAGGGTCAATATTGTCGGTATTTTTAATCAATCTTTTCAGAAATGTCATGATAGACCTCTGAAGCTGGTGGGCCTTTTGGCTCAGAGGTAGGGAAAATAAGGTATTGTAAGGCTGTCACCTATAATGTAGTGATACCACAATACAATCAAAATTCGAGACCAAATTGTTAACGTCGTATGTAAGTTTCACAGATGTGGATTCTTAACATTTTCATGTATTAATTACCTGCAACTCTTTGTAGAGTCTATCAAGCTCAACCACAACAGATTGGTTCTCATGATAACCATCAATCTTTCCACTTTTCAACATGTCTAGTTGCCTGGTGAGCTCCTCCACTTTTGCAACAGCAACCACTAATTCTCTCTGCTTCAGTTGGAAGAGACTATTCATCTGTTCAATCTCCTCAACTGCAAGAACAAAGTTTCAAGTATTTAATACCAGAATTAGTTGCCATTGTCTCAGGAATAAAAATTAAAAATTGCACCAAGCACATCTCTCCAAACATATATTACGCAAACTAAAAATGCTTGCAAATGTATCTTATTTGAATCCTGAAAGCCAATTGGCTTCCCAATGACCTTCAATGTCAACACAATTAAAGGTAATTGTGGCCAGATTATTGAGGTCATAATGAAATATGATGTTAAACTGAATTCAAATCAGAGCTATTTAGGATAGAGAAGTAGTAGGAAAAATCAGATTAAAGGGAGGGCACTTTAGCCAACACAAGGTATTTAGAGGGAGGTCAACAGCATTTAAAGACAGGTTTAAATATTGAATAAGCCAATCACAAATTCTGCAGTCCTAATACAATTTTGCAAACCTCCACTTTAAGTAGCGGAAGCAAATTTAAACTGACTTTTAAACACAATTTGGATAAATATTTCAAAAGAACAATGTCACTGGACTGTAGAGAAAACAGGAAAGGGACAAATGGGATAATTTTTTCAAAGAAGGGGCACAGACATAAGGAAGAGATGTGTCCGCCTATGATTTTTGAAGCCGAACTGTTCTGAATGAACATAAAACAGAATAGGACATAAATGGAGACTAATGAATACACAATAATGAATAATAAATAAATAAACATAAAAGAAATGACTGAAGAATGAAAAAATGTTTGTGATGAGCATTATTTGAACAAAGCTTCGTGACATAAAAATATAGCAGCACAATTCTGGAAGTAATCAAAATACCCTACAGATGCAAAAATACCATTTTAAATTTAACTGAAAATTCTATATTGATTTCAAATCAAAGGACAGCTTGGAGACCTGGGACCACATGTAAACTGACATTTACTCCAATGTGCCAAGAGGTCTGATGTTACTTTTATCTCTTAAATATTTGAACTGTTAATCAAATATTTTACCCAAGCAACCTACAAGTTCCAACTGTCAACGACAAACAGAATTATGCCAGTTCTGACCAACTGATATGAAGACAAAATCCTCCAACAGGTAGGTAAATAATAAAGAAATATTACATGATCAGAATCCCTAAATTAAGTTGCCTTCTATTTCTTAGCCTGTTACTTGCATCAGTAGAATACTTTGTGTATCTTTTCTTTCATGTCTTGTGCAAGTATCATTACGTGGAACACAGCAGAAGATATGAACTGTGGGGCTTTGGATTATATGATGTTTAAAGAAAATGAATAAAACGTTGGGAGAAATTTGTAAACAAAGTAATCAAATAAGTGATTAGGGTTTCACAGTGGTGCATAACTGGGCAATGCTTCAGAGGAAAAATAAAGCAGTATTGGGAAAGAGATGCAGACTGAAAAACTGGACTTAAAGTTTAAAAGAACGCCCATGTTGGGAGCTACTGGATTTAGCCCAAGGAAGAAAGAGAACATTGAATTGATGGAATGAAACAAGCAGCATGCAGGGTTTAAAGCATTTGGCCAATTTAAAGTAGAAGAAAATACTGGATCTTTGAGGAATTGACGTCATGTAGGCAATTAGAAACAAAAGCACAGCCTTAGATTTAGTCATGAAAATTTTGCCATCAGCTGCCATCAGCACACCTGATTCCTTACCCAAGGAAATGTCACCAAGGGATTTAACAGAAGTGAATAAGGGGGTGGGCAAGGATGGTATTGCAGAAAGTGGTGCTGGAATACACAAGTGTGCAAAGAAAAACCCAACTGAGAATTTTCAGCAATTGCAACAATTGCACCAATATCTCCCATTGCTGTTATTAGAGTAATACAGCATTGCAACAGGTCCTTCAGCCGAAATTGTGTGATGGAATTGGACATCAGGAAGTAGTGGTGAAGGTAGGTATACATGTAGTTGTGAAGCAACCATATATTCAAGGACATTAAAGACAAGATGAAAATAAAGCTGGTTAACATGATAAACAGAAGTCAAGTGAGAGCTTTTAACACATGAATTAGCAATTGATACAAATGCTGAAGTGGATAGAATCAATTCTCATCAATATGGATAGGCTGTCAGCTAACAAGAGCAATTAGACATCATAAGCTGAGTTGAAGGGGAATTTTGAAAGTTCGGATGGTGGCCTTCGAAGTGGAGATAAGGTTTAAGTGGATGGTGAAAATATCAAAACATCAGATGCATGAATCAAAAGGCGGTTATCATATGATGGACTCAATTTGCCTTGGAGCCAATGAGCTTCACACGAGTATCAGAAGTGAAGAAAGTTTAAGAAAGTGGTTGTTTTATGTGAAGCAGTCCGTTTTTGTTCTTTGATCTGCAGAAAATGACCTTTGGATAACATTGAGCTGTCTAGCTGTGCATGCTGACTGGCATGTCAGAGCATTGACTTCCAGTTTTACAAGTCAGTGCTATGCATGGACCTTGTCGGTTTGTGAACTGAGAAAACAACATTAGAGGGAGCACTGCCTTTAGGTTGGAGGAAGGTTCAAATGCCATTGAAACTATTAACTGGAAGCGTTCATTCCTTTGCAACAATATCAGAAAGACAGACAGGACTGGTAAGGAGATTATGTACAAGCAATCTTGTAACATTGGAATAACGACCAGAACATTCACTCACCAAGTCTATTCTTAAATTCTCTTTTTAAAGATTGCCAGGCTTGTCTCAAATTATGGACTGTACGTAATCAAATCATTGATTTGAAACAATCAAAAATGGCATTACAAAAAGATATCCTCGTTCCAAAAGTTAATTGTTTCCAAGAATCTATTCACATGCAAACTTATTACCTTGAGGGTGAAAGATAAAGGCTTCGTTATGGAATTAGTAACGAAGAAGTAATACTAACTTTTAAAATACACAGATATCAGTACAATTTGCTAAATGTCTCCCGACTCACATCTAATACAGAATGTATGGCCTGAAGCAAGACAATGATGTCATATTCTGACCTGTGACAGAAAAATCAGATTGTTGGTTTTGATTCATCAATGAAAGAATTTTCATGACAAGCTGGATTATATTGTAAAGATCACCAAGGCTATTATTCATGATTAATTGTTACTTACGTTATAGTTGAGGAACAAATGCAGTCATTGTTAGAGTACAGAGTTCTAACTTTTTACAGATCACAAACTGAAGGATTTTGAAAGAGATACCAATCACTCCACAAAACAATTAAATGTAACAAATTGCAAGAAAAAAAAGCAAAATATGGCAGATAGAAGTTATCAAGCAAAACAGGAGACAAATGTATTAAACACAAAGGACAGACAATAACTTTGAAGACAACACAAACTAGCATATCATGCAAAAATGATTATTTTCACTAAGTTGACTGATCAACAGCGTGCTTCCAGTATTTTCTAATTTTGTTTTAAAAAAAACTATAAAATTGCACATTTACAGCCACCATTTTAGTTTGAATTCCAGGAACTGGCTCCTGGTGGCCTCAAAGCGAAGTGTGACTCCCCGATCTAGACAGACAACTTGTATATCTGAGCAGAACAGCGCAGCAAAATCTCAGAAATAGGTTCACCAATCTTCCAAACTAAAACATTAGTATAGAATAAATAAAATGAATTAGGTATTTTAAGAATTGGAAACCTGCTTACAAGAACACTCTAAATTTAGTTACAACAGTTTAACTAAACATCACACCTCAAAACATTGTTTTGAAAGATTTCTGTAGGATTAAGTCAAGACTAGGGATTCTGAGAAAGAGATTCTGAGGGTGAGTAAATGAAAAACAAAGTTAGTTAGAGCAACTTTTATTAAGTTTAAGAAATAGGGAAAAGAGTTCAAATCCTGTCCTGAAACTGAAGCCACTAGACTATGTTCGTTTTTATTTCTGAGTTTTCCAATACAGATCAGAAGGAAATTGAAGGCTGCAAGGGAACAAATTTTAAAAAATTGACCAGTAAAGTGGGATGACTTAATAATTATGACTTACCCAGCTTCCCATTGCTAAGTCGGTTTTGTTCCACTTGCCCTTTAAGAGACCTTACGGTCTTCAATTTGGCTTCCTGGCACTCAGCAATCTCACGAAGCTTTTGTAGCTTCTCTTGCTCTGCTGCCTGTTGCTCTCGATGGTCCTGCTGTTTCAGGTATCTCAGATGCTGTTCCTAAGAATCCAGTGTGGAAAGGAAAGAAAAGAAAAGAAAAGAAAATAAACAGATATTACATGCGAAGAGCAAAAATATCAGACTTGTGTTTGGAGGCAAACTTAGGGAACAGAACACTTGATTTCAGAACTTCAAACTGCTATATCAAACAGCCTCCTCCTTCTATGACAGGAGACAATTTAAGATCAAAGAAACATTCAAGAACTAAGAACACAAGAAATAGGAGGGGTAGATTATACAATGTCAAGTCTATTCTGCCATTCATTTTCATCAGAGCTGATCTCAGGTTTCAACTTCACTTGCTTGCCTATTCTTCATATCCCTCAATTCTTAGAGACTGAGGATGCATCAATCTCATCTTTCAAAGCACTTAATGATGGTATATCTACAACCTTCAGAAGGAGTAAAATTACTAAGATCCAAAACCCTTTGAATGAAGTCATTTCTCAACAAGTCTCAATTTCTCAACTCCTGATCTAGAGACTGCTCCCTAATGTTTTAGACTTCACAATCAGTGGAAATAATCTCAGCGTTTACCCCATCAAACCCTTTCAGAATTATTTCAGTTTCAACTAGATTACTCTCATTGTTCTAAATCCAACTATATAGACCCAATTTCCTCAGCCTTTTATCACAGGACTATCCCCTCTACCCAAGGATTATTTCACCAAACCTTATATTCTATTTTAGAAGACAATAAAATTTGTAAATGACCATTGCTACTATTGAAAGACACTGAATTCATCCATAAAGCATTTTTCTTTGATGCATTATTCATTGACAAACTGTAAAACATATTAGGTGTTCATCCACTGATATCAGTAGGAATAATTTCCAGGTTGCAAAGTGGTTGCCACACAATCTCAATGCAAGTAATTTATAGAGATAATCTGTAATCTGTTAACAAACACAGATTCTGTCTGGTCCCAAAAGATTATTGTAAACACAGGAATGAAATTGGGAAAGAAATGCTCTCTCGGCAAGGCCAGAGTCAAAAACTGCTTAACGACTTGAATGGTAAGGAACAACTTATGCTATCAGACACACTGATCAATTTTCCACAAAAAGTTGTAAAGGTAGCGTTAGTATAGCGCCCTCCATTGGACAAATAATACAATTTCAACCGACTCAAAAGATCTGTTAGTATTTAAAATGCAACCAACCAGAATTTTAAGATTAACAAAGTTTGTAGATGACAAATTTTGCAAGTCTTGTGAACAGTGTGGAGGATAGGATAGATTTCAATCTAAAGCAAGGAGGTTGACAGAATGGGGAGACACATGGAGATTCAATTTAACGTAGAAAATTGTGTCAAGTGATAGATGCTGTAGGAAGAATGAGAAAGGCAATTCTAAAAAGGCTTCAGGAGCAGAAAGACTTAAGAGCACATATACTGAAATTTATGAAGGTGAAAGACAGGCTTACAAGTAATTAGTGAGGCATATGGGATCCTGTATTTTGTAAATCAAGGCATTGCGTACAAAAGCAAATAAGTTGAAAATTAAATCCACTAAATATGAAAACAAAAACTTTTACAAAACACCAGTTCAGCCCCAATTCGATTATGTCAAATTCTGGGCATCACAATTTAAGAGGGATGTGAAGGCACTGGAAAGAATGCAAAAAACATTTTAAGAATGATTCTAGGAATGATAGGATTCAACTACATGCATAGATTGGTCACACTGAGGCTGCTCTACTTCCAGAAGGGAAAATTGAAAGAAAATGTGCTAAAACTGTTTAAAATAATGAGGTGTCAGGACAGACTAAGCTGGCACAAACTGTTGCTGTTGCTGGAAGGGCCGATAACCATAGCTGTCAAGTTAATGTGATCAGCAAAGAACTACAGGTGACATGGGCAAAATTTTTACTTTAATTCAATAAGCATTGAGGATCTGGAATGCATTGCCTGAGACTGCTGTGGTGCTATATTCAATTGTGGCTTCCAGAAGGGAATTGTATTAATTATCTGAAGAGAAAAAAATTGCAGGCCTACACGGAAAAGCCAGGGGAGTTAGATGAGTGGGGAGAGACGAGTGATCAACTGGCCTCCTTCTGAGGTATAACCATTTTATGATTCTACTGATTTCAGAACACTAAAACTGAACCATTTTAAGAAATATTTTAACAAGAATGTGGAAAAGCAAAAATCAAATCCTCAATCACACAGTGGAGTCACACCATCTGATCATTCAGCCACAAATCAAACATGTAACAAATGGCACAAACAACTTGGGATTTTTAAACCATTCCAAGATTCCCTAACAATTCTTGCTTCCTTTTTCTTCTGTAAGCATGAATGTTCACTAACTTTCACAGCACCAAACGTCTCAAAGAAATTTCAGAGGGAATGGAGTATCTAAGCAGGAAGATTTTGCTAAACTACACAAGGTAATTGTCAAATCGCGGTTGGAACATTGAACAGTTTTGAACCACTAATTTAACGAAAAATACACTGGGATTAGAGGTAGTTCACAGAAAATTCACAATGCTGGTACCAGAAATGGATTGTCTTATGAGGGGAGGTCAAGTAGATTGGACCTCTGCTCATCTGAATATAGTAGATTGAAAGGCTACCTTTGTGAAACATACAGGTAGGAAAACGGAGTTGAGGATTCACAGATCAACTATGATTTCATTGAATGGCAGAGCAGACTTGATGGGCTAAAATGGCTTACCCCTACGTTTTACAGTCTTATGACAGAAAAAGCTGCAGGAACAGCAAGAGTGAAAAATATGAATGTTTTTACCAAGAAGCAAATATATTGAAGTCACCTATGACACAGGTCAAGGAAACAGTGGATGCCTATGAGGTAAGAAACTGTGGTTCAGAGCAGAATGAGAATCACAAAGTTTTAGATGAAGCCAGGTATGAAGAGGAAAATGAATAGTCAAGACATCAAAAAGTATACATCCAAAGGCAACATAACTGAAATGCAACCAGTGCAAACAGAAGAAAATTTAAACACTGTCATCATAGCAAGGTATCAAGACGAAATCAGGAACAAAAACAAAGTTGCTGGAAAAGCTCAGAAGGTCTGGCAGCATCTGTGAATTTAAAAACATTGTTATTGTTTCGGGTCCGGTGCCCCTTCCTCAGAACACAGACGAACTTAGGTACGTCTTCACATGGAAGTGAGGCAAAAGAAATAGATAAAAGGTCGTTTTGGACTGTTCTCACCTGGCTTTAAAATAATGATTATGTACATGTACCTTTGTTGCCAACAGTTGCTGCTGCGAATCGATTTGCTGTTGCTGCCGAGTTGCCATTTCTTGCAGTTCAGCAAGCGTCATGTCCATACGTGGCCCACTAACCTGCAAAGCATGAAGACCGTAGTGCCTTAATCAAAATTCCAACTTTGCTCAGTGTACATTTTTAACAATATTACCAATACCACTCAATTCATTAATTTTAACAACTTAGCTGATATCCTTTGTTTTCCTACCACTAGTTCCTGTTTGTAGTCCACATTACTCAGTCATAAAGTCATACAGCATGGAAACAGACTCTTTGTCCAACTAGTCCATGCTGACCATAATCCCAAACTAAACTAGACCCACTTGCTTGCGGTTGGCCCACATACATCCAAACATTTCTTATGCACGTACTTATCCGAATGTCTTTTTAATGTTTTAACTGTACCCACACCCACCACTTCCTCTGCAAGTTCATTCCACATACAAACCATGTTGTGTGAACAAAAACGGCCCTCATGTCTTTTTTAAAATCTTTGTCCTTCCACCTTAAGAATATGACCCCTAGTCTTGAAAGCCCCCACTTCAGCGGGGGAAAAGAAAATTCTTTGCTATTCACCTTACATTTACCCCTCATGATTTTATAAAACTCTATAAAGGTCGCCCCTCAACATCCTACGCTCCAGTGAAAATGTCCCAGCCTATCCAGCCTCTTCTTGTAACTCAAACCCTCCATTCTCGGCAACATCCTGGTAAATCTTTTCTGAACTGTCTTCAGATTAACAATATCCTTTCTATAACAGGCTGACCAGAACTGGACACAGTACTCCAGAAGAGGCCTCACCAACGTCCTGTACAAACGCAGCTACTATACTCAAAAGGTCAGAGCAATGAAGGCAAGACTGCTAAATGCCCTCTTAACTACTCTGTCCAAGCAAATTTCAAAGAATTATGTACGTGAACCCTTATGTCTCTCTGTTCTACAACATCCAATGCCCTACTCTGCTTTCTACATTTCTTACTTTTATAAGAGGGAAGTATTATTCAGCTCTTGTCAGCTTTTCAGAAAATGAACAAAGCCAATAACAAGCATGCTTGCATACAGTAGATTTGTTGCATAAATGCACTTATTCATATTCATTTATGTTGCATTTTTTCTTTAACTTCAAACTGATTTGATTGTCTTTCTTTTTTACTTAGCAAACAGAAATCTTTGTTTTCAAATTATTGTTCTCCACATAAACTTTGAGGGGATGCAATATTCTTCCCTGACGTATTTTTGTTCTCTTTTCTTCAACTGATTCAATATCTGTGCTAATACATGTTTCATGAAATTACATTATACCCATGAAACCTCGGTCACGTCACAATGCCAGGTATCCTCATTCATGGGCCATTCACCACTGATCTAACTGTTTACTTTCAATACAAAGTCTATGGCTTCTGTATAAATTTAAAAATCCAATGGCTTAAGTTTTTCAACGGTTTAGATGGTGAGTTCTTGATATTTCTGTCATTACTCCTTCAAAATGGACCACAAAGTCTGGATATAGTGTGGGTGCAGAAATCCTGAAATTGCAGCCAATCACTCTCTGCTGCTCTATCCCCATCCCACCACCAGTAATCAATAAAATGAGCTGATTTGGCAATAACTTCCCCTTCTCAGTTCTGTATCACTGTTAGAGACTCCAAAAATCACATCTCATTTGTTCAGGTAAAACTGTCAATTTTATTTTAATCTGATTCATTGCTAACTAACAGATTTGAAAATGTCATGTTTGTGGAGTCTTCTTAAATGTCTCCATATTGATTAAATTATTAGATTTTTTATTTGAAAATATTTTTGTTTTACAATTTCTTTTACAATATTTTCTCCTGTATTTTTGACTGATGGGCATGTCGCAAATTTTAATTTACTCTGGAAAATTTTTCAAAAGCAACTGTTTCCTGTTTGGCTGTGAATGAGAATTCTTTAATATGTGACTGGCTGCTTGGACAGCACAATGACATAATTGCAGCTCCATGATCCCAATTAAAGAACACAATAAGCCACTGTACAAGGCAAGAGGAAAAGGTAAAACTGTCAAAAATGATTGTTCAATCTCAAGGAGAAAGATATATTTCTTAAGACGTAAAGGAATCAAAAGATATGACAATGAAGCAGGAACAGGGCATGATCACACTGAATGGTGGAGCAGGAGCTGGCTTGAAGGACCAAATGGCCTACTCCTGCTGCTATATTTTCAAACAAAAAACGCTCTTTGAAGTCAGCAGCCAGTGCGCTTATTTTGCTGCAAAACTTAGGCTAATATTCAGATTATTCCACTTGTTGTAATTAATATAAAAGAAGTCAAAAATGGAAAAGTCACAGGCAACAAGCAAGGAATGATATACTGGTGAACAGAAGATATGAGTAAAACAATGGATGAGTGAAACCTAAGTTAGGCAATGGAGCAATATTTAAGAAAGTTAAAATGAATGTATAACATTGCACAAAGGAACACGAACTGAGACAATTACAACAAATACTTTTCTAGAACATCTCATTAACAGGTCTATACAGGTCAGTGTTGCTAGATCTGGCTTGGAGTAATAAGACGGATTGGGTAAATTCAATTCAAAAACCGTATTAACAGACTGGGTTAGGGCATACTTTAGAAAGGTGAGGAAATAGCTGGCTGAGGTAAGGTGGTGACACAAGTACATTAGTGGGTCAGGAACGAGAAAAAAAAAAGTACGTCATTTAGCCCTTAGAGCCTGCTCCATTATTAAATAAGATTGTAGCTGATCCGATTTTAACCTCATCTGTACATACCCCCGATAACTTTTCATTCCCTTGTTCATCAAGGATCATCTACCTCTGCCTTAAAATATTTCAAGATTCTACAGCTAAAGCCTTCTCAGGATAGGAAGGCTTAATAATTTTCAGATTGTCAAATGTTCCCCTTCAATTATTCACATCCACACAGCTTCCTGCAAGTATGAAATTTTCTGGTATTCTGATCCATGCCAGTAAACAGGACACTGACAAAATTGATTCATTTTCCATGTGAACTTTAATGTTGTTGTGAAGTGCTATGTTACAATAGAGACAAACAAGCCCACAGATTCTTCACATAGTCTTCTCAAAGATGACGCTTGAAAAACCCAATGAAACAATGAGAAAATTTTGTACTTCACTGCAGGGTTTGCAACAACAAACCTATTCCTACGACCTCACCATTTTAGCTTAATGTGGAAACAACAAATATAATCACTGCTTTTAAATAGCGGCACATAATCTTGAATCAGATACATTAACAAGTTAATTGGTTTTGACAACAGCAAAATTGTTTTGTTTTTTTTGGTTGTATTTAGAAAAATCACTTCACCATCAGCATGGGGATAATGCCGCTTTAATGACATCAGGATGCCACTGTAAGTGATTGATTTTGTATACATAATTTATAGGTAACCATCCTCTAAATACTGAAATTCAGTGGATAAATTACTGTTCTTTATGGATATGGTTGCTGAAGTTTCAGTTTTGGGTTCAATTTCCTCCAGTTTATTGACCACTTTTAAATAGATTCTTTAGATTGTTGCCAAATTACACTGCCAAGTAATGGACTTTGTCTTAAAAGCAGACAGCATGCTGTGAGAGTTGTGATTAGCATCCTACTGCATTGGCTGATTTAGCGCAATGCTGACTGATAGCAGTGTCAATAAAAATGCTGCTTTTTCTACTAAAAAGAACAATAACTACACAATCAGCCAGGATATGGAACCTCTATAAAAAGGTCACAAGGGGTTTGCATGAATTATTACTTTTATACCTTTATTGTCTAAGTTGAAATTAGTCTGCAAGCTACAAGTGAATTGGTATATCTAAAATCTAAACTTTTATCCAACTTCAACACAAATTCTTTTCAATTAATTTTTAAAATCAGAAATAAGATTACCCTGTCCATTTTTCTTCAATTTTACTTGCCTACTTCTATTCTACATTGGAAAGTCTGATGGACCAAATAAGGAAAGGGAGACATTTCATTTCTTTCAATTCCTGGAGACAAATATATTGTGCTAACAAAATATACATTGAGGAGAACCTTCAGGAAAGCAAAGTCAGTTTATATTGGCAGGCAGAGTGGGGGCAACTGAAGTAGAAAAAAAAATAAAGAAAATTTAGAATCATAATACCACAAAAACAAACGAACATTAAATCTTATAAAAATGAACATTTGACTCTACTTACACCATTTTCCACCTGTCTATCCATAATACCCTGGACTCTATTTCTCTTCAGCGTTGGATCCTGGAGTCTCAAACAGCCTATGGGAAAAAATAGTTTCAACATAAATACAGTCACATTGAATAATCAAATTCATTGTGTTCAGCAGCTGTAATTTCTGACTCCACCCAGAAGCAATTGTTTGGCAGATGCAAAGTTTCGTCATTGCACAACATTTTGTTCCCGATGAAATCTAACTAGATCTGGGCGAAGGTGGATGATTGCACTGAAAGTAAAATATCAAAATTCACAGCAAACTGAAAAAAGCGAAGTATAAATCTTTATTTATTCACTCGTGGGACATGGGCACTGCTAGCTGACCAGTAATTATTGTGCATCCCTAGTTGCCCCTGAGAAGGTGATGTGAACTGCATTCTCAATTCCTGCAGTTCATGCGCTACAGGTTTATTCCAAATCCGTTCCAACGAATCTAGCTCCGTCTCTAGCTACCTCCCTCTGGGTCCTCACTTCACACATCTCCAGTCTTATGCAGAAGTGTTGAGTGGATGATTGCTTTTATTTCAAAAATATAGTTAGTTCCTAAAAATATCTTTAGAGACACTCAGTCACTGGAGCAGCTGGGTTCTGTACAGTCTTGACACATTGAAAACAAACACTGGGAGTTTGACTCTCCCAACAGTTCCAACAACCCAAAGGCATTTCTTACTTATGCAACATATTATTTACATATATTTGAGGCACTGGGAAGGTCCATTAACTAAATGGACCCCCACTGTACTTTGGCCAAAAGACCTTCGATGGTGGTCTTTCCTTTGAGGCAGTATTGTATAAGAAAGAAATGCTTTGGGTTTTTTTGTTCTCCATTCTTGAAGACTGTACAGAATCAAAGCGCTTTAGTCCCTATGTTTGTATAAAAAGATTACAAAGTATGTTTTCGAAATTAAAAAACATCCCTCAAAGGAAAGACCATCTATTTAGTAGATGATTATTCTCAACAGTTCTCCAAGACTTCCACCACCACATACAGCCTTAAAAAAAACTGTCGAGTTTACTGCACAAGGCAAAAATCAAAAACCCTTTACAGGGTTGAGAGCACCTATGGCTCAGAACTAGTCAAACCATTATTTAAGCTGATCCAATAGAACATCCATCAATTTAGGAAGAATACTGCTCTGGTACTGCTCACGAACAGCACGACTCCTCCAGCTAATAACAATTATTAGCCTATTCCTAATAAGCAAACCAATAAAAGGTATTGTTAGTGCTATAGTACCATTTACTCATCAATAAAGCGCTCATCAATAGTCAGTTGGACTTGACCAGTTCCACACAGCACAGCGTCTTTTCAGCTGTGACCTAAACATGAATAGATCAAGAACAGAAAGCAAAAAAACAAACAGGATTTTGAAATGAAGAATGAAGCACAACAGCAGCATTAGACTTGGAGAAATGGGTTTAATTTACATCATTGTTTAGCTTAAACCCAAATACAAAGAACAATGTGAATACGTTAAGTGCCTTAATAAGACATTACTCTGAAGTAAAATAAAACAGCAGAACTCAGACATTTAAGAGCTAAAGAAATCATAAATACAAATGGACAAATCATCGTTTTATCAAAATCCAACATACATACAAATACATCTTCGTAGTACAGCACAATTCAACAAAGAATTTATTATACAAAGTAGGTACACCTGAGGCAAGACCAGCTTCTTGCATTCAGCTCTTGTAAAAAGTAAACTGTTTTGATTGGAGAGTCTAAGGGCAGACTTTTAAATTATTCATGAATTAATCCAGCTTTTTGCCACGCATCAAGTGGGGGAAATAAAACTATGGATAAGCTGAAGAAAAAAAAGTTGAACCTGAGGGGACTTTCGTGCATTAGCATGGTGAACAATCTCTATTGTGCTCATCTCAGTAGTCAGAAATAGCATTGTTACTTTACTATTATCATTAGCCATCCTATTGTAACATTAACATGGACCCTCATAAGGATGGTCTGAAGAACTTGCTTCTTCCTTGAAAGGAGGCCTGAACAGAATCCATCCACCACCATCCCCCTTAGCTTTGCTGACTAATTTTAATAATTTGCTTTTAAGTCATCTCACTGTTTCCAGGCTAAAAGGGGTGGTCCTAATTATGCCAGTCTCTTTGTGGGGTCTGTGAAACCAGTCTTTGTTCCAGTACTACTCGGGCATCCTTCCACAAATCCTTCGCTGGTACAATGATATCATCAGCCCTGCTTTGCTCTCATTCGAAGTTGGAAAAATTAATCAGTTTTGCTTCCAATTTCCAATGTTACCTCACTGTCACCTGGTCCATCTCCGATTCTTCCCTTCCTTTTCTGGACTTCACCGTTTCTATTTCTGGGGATAGGCTGTCTGCTAATATCCATTGCAAACTCACTGACTCCCATAGCTACCTTGATTACACTTCCCCAAACTCTTATTCCTGCAAGAATTGCATTCTATTCTCCCAGTTTCCCTGATTCTGTTGCTACTGATTTAACAATTCCACCTTCCACGGATGGCATGCCTTCCTTTTGTCATTAAACGAGAATTCCATCCCGTCCCCCCACCCAACCACAGTTGACAGGGCTCTCAAGTTGTGTCTGACCCATTGCCTACACTTCTGCCCTGACCCCTTCCGCTATCTTACAAAACAGTGGGATTCAAGCTTGTCCTCACTTCTCACCCTGCCAATCTTGATCAAAACATAATTTTCTGCCATCTCCAGGGTGCCACCAACAAAAACATTTTCCCCTCCCATCCACTGTCTGTTTTCCCCTAGATCCATTCCCTCCAGGACACTCTGGTCTACTTCTTCACTTCCAACACTCCCTCACTCTTCCCACGCAATCAGAAAAAGCGTGACGCTTGTCTTTTTACCTCCTCCTTGTCCATCATCCCAAACACTTTCCAGATAAGGCAGTGATTTACTGGTACTCCTTCCAATCTCGGATTGTCTGCTGTATTCACTGCACACAACACAGTCTCCTTTATATTGTCAAGACCAAAATACACAACACCTCCACTCTGTCCCCAAGAATGACCCCAACCTTTCAAATGCTTGGCACTTCAACAAACCATCTTTCCCCATGCTGACATTTCCATCCTAGGCCTGCTACAGTGTTCCAATGAAGCTTAAGGCAATCTCGAGGAAGAGCACCTCTTTTTACACTTAGACACTTTACAGCATTTCAGGACTCAACAGTTCAACAATTTCACAACACGAACACTATCCATCGCGCACGCTCACTCACACAAAGTAGTTATTGACTACAGCCTTTTTAATCATTCACGGGATACGGGTGTCGCTGGCTAGGCAGCATTTATTGCCCATGAATGAATAAATGGACTACAGGCAACAACTTCATAACCTCCAGTCTCCTGATACTAGTTTGTGTTGTGAACGTTGCAAACTACAATAGGTCAGGCCAAGTACGGATTTGTAGAATTATGTTAACTAAGTTCTTTACGTATAAACTTTTAATTTTAAGTACAAATATTGTCCATGATAAGAAGAAATATTACTTAAGAGGCTAGGGCAATCAGTGTCAAATAATTCAATCAATGCAATTAATTGAAAATCCTTGCTATCCCAAATATCTTTCCATGGCCTTGATCTAGTTTAGCTTGTATCCATCTCAACTTAGTATTGCTTTTTGCTGACTTCAATCTTCTGGTGCAAGCTTCTCATGTATATTATCTTTTCTATTACCTTTTGTTACAAGGTCATTATTGCTCACAGTAGCATTGCAGTTGATGCTATGCCATTTCAAAGAGCAGTTAACAGTCAACCATATTGCTGTCACCTGGAGTCATTGGTAAGTGCAGCAAAAGCTCATCAGTGAATGAGATGCAATTTTAGGATTTGCATTGGTATACTAAAGTTGTATGTTAGACTTTCATATCCAAATCTTGTAACGTGACTGAGAAAAGAGTTCTGAACGCCTTCTACCATTTGGGTATAAACTTCAAAATTATTCTCACACGTGAATTCTGAAATAAACTGCTGATTAAAATTCTCAAAACAGGAATCCATATCAATGTGGAATCAATTGCGCCTCAGACGTCAGTTCTCACTGTACTACATTTCTAAATTCAAGAATAAATATGAATCACCCTATTTAAGACATGCTTGTGCCAACGATCCTAAAAAAAATTACTCGTACTTCTCAACTGACTACAATAGTTCTTTAGTCATTTGTAAAAACTGTTGTCTGTTGTAATGATCATGAAAACTCTACTTTAAAAATCTGGCAAGCTGCATCAGACTAGATTTACTTATTTTATTTATCCACTAGAAACTAATTCCCGGAGCTATCATTGCATATAACGGAAAATATGAAAACTGAGTTGGAAAGTTTGAAAATAAAATTAATTATCTGAAAGTGAACTGATTCCCATCTATGAAAAAGATCCATTAAATTGGGCTAAACAAATGTGACACAAATCTTACCTGTATCCCTGGTTGCGCTTGGTGGACGCTCATGGCGCAGATAGAAACAAACGTCATTTCTTTGAACACCCCACTGTTGCAGAATATCATATATACGTTCATTATCTGCTATGACACGCTCTACAAAGAAGAATAATTAAATTACTTCTGTTCCATGTTACCGTCTACTACTAAAAAGTGTTTCCAACCTACAAATCGTGACATTTCATTCTTTAAAGACCAAACATCGCATCATCTTAACTTTCTGAATTTTTGATTGCAGACTGAACTGGGTGAAGTTAGAAGCCCTGCTTTTCAGACTCAGAGCTGGTTTCATCCCACAACCGAGTGAAAGCCAGTGCACAGGGGCAAAAGAGAAGGAGCTAGAAAAGGAAGGTGGGTTGAGAGAAAAGGGAAAGAGCGAGACAGAGCGCACGCGAATTGCGGGAGGTGGGGTGGAGAGGCAAAACAAAGATGGACGGTGGGGGATCCGAGATGGATGGATGGCGAGAAGAGAGTCCAGTTGCAGACGATCGAACCAAGTGGTTGACTGGTGTGGGAAATGATGATCCATTGCCCATAACAAAAAAACCTTTTGCCTGCCAACAACGGTGTGACTGACTTCTAGGTAGTTCAACAGTTCATGGGCATGAACGAGGCGGCTGAAGGCATCAGATCTCCCGAAATAAAAGAACCGTCATTCCTCTGCAACAAGAGCCTCCTCAAACCTGAAGAAAGTTTATTTCCCTCATCAATCGCAGTAAACTGTACCTTTTAACAAAGAAGTCAGAGACATCAGAACTGGTGCCCGTGCATCATGCAAGCAAAGTAGAATTACTGGAGAAGATAGATCAAGGAGCAGTAGATACTGACAAGCAGAAAGGATCGCCTCAGCGAAACCTACAGGGAACCAGTGATCATCCTTCCAAGTCTCTCTCTCTGCCCGTAAAACACTTTTTGTGTTTGTATGTTTCTGTAGGGCAAGTTTTATAAATGAGTTAGAGTTTTAACTGGAGTCTTATGCTGATGGTTCATAACTGTAGGTGCGTAGCTAGAAAATATTTGTTATAAATGATAATTCTTAAGTACAAAACCTGGTCCGTGCTTTCTGTTAACCTGGATCTAGAAAGACAGATAAAACGCGGAATCTTGTGTACTTTAAAATCTAACTTTTGTGACGACACAGAGAACAGCAGGGTTCAATTTCTAGCACATTACTTCACTGAGGCAATAAGAACACCTACGATGTACAAAGTATCTGTTAGTTTAATGAATTATTCTCAATAACAAATTGATAATAAATATTGGAATTTTGTTTAGCATTTCACCCATAAAAACTGCACTAAGCTGACAGTTTGTTCTCAAGTGCTTCCAGTTAAGATAGGTTGCTACCTACCCTGTACTGCTAAAACATGTAACTGCTCCCTAGGATTCATCAGCAAGCTATTTCAAGTTAACTGGTTCAATTTTTTTGGCATTTGCTAATGTCTGTTAATTTGAAACAGCCCCAGTACTACTTTGTATACAGAACATACTGCAAAAAGGCTGTTTGTGTTGTGTTCCAAAAGAAAAAAAAAAGTCAATGGGACAATCCAACAAAATAGCTTGAACATTTGTAGTAGCTGAACAGATTTCACTTACCAGCACCATGCCAACGCTCAGCCAAATAACAGTCTCTCTCTCCTGGTTCTTTGCAATAGCCAATAACATCTCGACATGTGGTATCTGGAGTGATTGGTACCTCTGTGTAATGCTGATCATTGTTCCTCAGGTACACAGTGAGAAACATCTACATCAAGCAAAGGGAAAAGCTTTACTCGGATCAATTTTTTTCTCAACACTGCCAAGCTCATAATGAAGTTCACGTAATTCCATATTTAGTCCAAACATCAAGTTGGTCCATAATGCTAAAATTATCCATGATCAGCATCAATCTTTTACAGTGAACAACCAAAAGCCAACTACTTGCACAATATTAGCTCATGGGTTGGCAAACAATTTAGAATCTTAAGAACATGGCAAGTAAATGTTTCATATGGATGAAATGCAAATCAAATTGGTTGTTTTCTCTTGGGAAGGCGATGGCCTAGTGGTATTATCGCTGGACTGTTAATCCAGAGACCCAGATAATGGTCTGGGGACCCGGGTTCGAATCCCACCATGGCAGATGATGGAATTCGAATTCCACAAATATCTGGAATTAAGAATCTAATGATGACCGTGAATCCATTGTCAATTGTCAAAATTTAAAAACCCATCAGGTTCATTAATGTACTTTAGGGAAGCAAACTGCAATCCTTGCTTGGTCTGGCCTACATGTGACTCCAAACCCACAGCAACGTGGTTGACTCTTAACTGCCCTCTGGGCAATTAGGGATGGGCAACAAATGCTGCCTGGCCAGTGACGCCCTCTTCCTGTGAATGAATATAGAGGAAAAATAAGCCTCGAGCGTGGTTGGAGCTGCAGTTATCCAGGCAAGTGAAGACATGTCATCATATGGTTAACAACGCTTGTAAATGGCTGGAGGGATGTGAAGAGTCAGGTGAGTTGATCACCACTGAACTTCCAGACTCTGACCTCTTGTAGATATTATGACGGATTCCATTTCTGGTCAATGGTAACCTTCAGCATCTTGTTTCTATGGGATTCAACAGTCATAGTTAAAGAGGGAAGGACGTCAGGTCATGCGGTTGCAGATTTTGGATGAATACTATTCTGGAGTTGCCAATAGCCTCCAGTGTCCATAATACCCAATGTTACATTGCTAGGATAGATCTAGCAACTTACAGTAGTGATATCAGAAAACATGATGGGGGGTATCTTATGAAAGGGATGCTCCCCCTAGCTGGAGTGTCTTGAACTAGGGGTTTTCAGATTAAGGGATCTATCATTTAGGACTGAGATGGAAAGAAACGTCTTCATTCAGGGTTCTGAATCTTTGAAATTATATACACCAGATACAGTGGATACCTCAGTTATGGAAGCCAATTGGAACAAAGATCACATTATTTTTGGATACCAAAGGAATTAAGGGCTAAGTGGTAACATGGGAAGGTGGAACTGTAGATTATCCATTAACTTGCTGAATGGTGATATAGGATTGAAGGATCAATGGTGCTCCCTTGGAACCTCCCAGCAAATCAGGCAGTATTTACGGAGCACAAAACAGTTAATGTTTGAAGTAGATGAATTTTCACAATATGTTCTTCACCCTCAGTACCATTCAACCATAACCCCTCTCCTTTTCAAGGCTTTGGCATTCTGCCTAAAGTTTGGTCTCCAGAATTGCTCATAGCTCTCTGCCGGAGGCCTAACTATTGAATAATGTAAATCCAGTTAACTGACTTTTTTTTTTAAGATTCAATATCACTATTTATATTACCAATTACGACTTCATTAATTTAATCTGCCACTTTTACAGATGACCGGTGTCCCCACTAGATCTTTCTTCTACCAAATAAATGCAGCAGCAATTACCTCAAGTGAAAGCTTTTTGAGAGGAAGAATAAGACTCCAGACACAATTAAATTCCACCGGTGATGTTCCTTCCTGTTTCACAGTCAGCCCATATCTTCTTTAAGTCTGCCACTATTCTCTTCACACAACTACAATCACAGCAGCAAGACTACTCCAAGACCTACATCTGGTTTCTCTAATAAAAGAGATAGAGAGATTCTGACTCAATATGTAGATAGGCCGACTAAAGGGGAGGCCATATTGGATTTGGTGTTTGGCAACAAACCAGGCCAGGTGTCAGATCTCTTGGTGGGAGAGCATTTCACTGATAGTGAGCATAACTCCCTGACCCTTACTACAGTCATGGAGAGGGATAGGAGCACACAGTATGGGAAAGTATTTGACTGGGGGAGGGGGAATTACAATACTATTAGGCTAGAACTGCGGAGCATAAATTGGGATTAGATGGTCTCAGGGAAATGCAGAACAGAAATGTGGAGATTGTTGAGGGAACAGTTGCTCTAAGTACTGGATAGGTTTGTCCCATTGAGGCAAGGAAAGGATGGTAAGGTTAAAGAACCTTGGATGACAAGACATGTGGAATGCCTAGTCAAGAGGAAGAAGAAAGCTTACTTAAGGTTGAAGAAGCAAGGATCGGACAGGGCTCTAGAGGTCTACAAGATAGCCAGGAAGGAACTGAAGAATGGACTTAGGAGAGCTAGAAGTGGGTATGAGAAAACGTTGGCGGGTAGCATCAAGGAAAACCCCAAGGCTTTCTATACTTATGTGAGGAACAAGAGGATGGCCAGAATGAGGGTAGGGCCAATCAGGGATAGTGGAGGGAACTTGTGCACGGAGTCAGAGGAGGTAGGGGAGGTCCTTAAATGAATACTTTGCTTCAGTATTCACCAGTGAGAGGGACCTTGACGTTCGCGAGGACAGCACGAAACAGGCAGATATGCTCAAACAGGTTGAAGTTAGGAAGGAGGATGTGCTAGAAATTTTGAAAAACATGAGGATAGATAAGTCCCCTAGGCCAGACGGGATATACCCAAGGTTACTGCGGGAAGCAAGGGAAGAGATTGCTGCCCGTTCGGCAATGATCTTTGCATTGTCACTGTCCACTGAAGTAGTACCAGAAGATTGGAGGGTGGCAAACGTCATTCCCTTGTTCAAGAAAGGGAATAGGGATAATCCTGGAAATTACAGAACGGACAGTCTTATTTCTGTGGTGGGCAAATTATTGGAGAGGATTCTGAGAGGTAGTATTAATGATTATTTGGAAAAGCATAGTTTGATTAGAAATAGTCAGCATGGCTTTGAGAGGGGCAGGTCATGCCTCACATGCCTTATTGAATTTGAGGATGTAACAAAACCCATGGATGAAGGCAGAGCAGTGGATGTGGTGTATATGCATTTTACCAAGGCATTTGATAAGGTTCCACATGGTAGGCTCATTCAGAAAGTAAGGAGGCATGGGATTCAGGGAAATTTGGCTGTCTGGATACAAAACTGGCCGTCCAATAGAAAACAGAGGCTGGTAGTAGATGGTAAGTATTCAGCCTGGAGCTCGCTGACCAATGGTGTTCCGCAGGGATCTGTTCTGGGACCTCTGCTCTTCGTGATCTTTATAAATGACTTGGGTGAGGAAGTGGAAGGGTGGGTTAGTAAGTTTGCTGTTGACAGGAAGGTTGGTGGAGCTGTGGACAGTGTGGAGGGCTGTTGTAGGTTGCAACAGGACATTGACAGGATGCAGAGCTGGGCAAAGAAGTGGCAGATGGAATTCAACCTAGAAAAGTGTGAAGTGATTTATTTTGGAAGGTCGAATTTGAATGCAGAATACAGGGTTAATAGCAGGATTCTCGGCAGTGTAGAGGAACAGAAGGATCTTGGGGTCCACGTCAATGGATCCCTCAAAGTTGCTACCCAGGTTGACAGAGTTGTAAAGAAGGTGTATGGTGTGTTGGCTTTCATTGGCAGGGGAATTGAGTTGAAGAGCCACGAGGTTATGCTGCAGCTCTATAAAACCCTGTTTAGACCACACTTGGAATATTGTGTTCAGTTCTGGTCGCCTCATTACAGGAAAGACGTGGAAGCTTTCGAGAAGGTGCAGAGGAGATTTACCTGGATGCCGCCTGGACTGGAGGACAGGTCTTGCGAGGAAAGGTTCAGGGAAGCTAGAGCTTTTTTCATTGGAGCAAAGAAGGATGAGAGGTGAACTGATAGAGGTGTACAAGATGATGAGAGGCATAGTTAGAATGGACAGTCAAAGACATTTTCCCATGGCGGAAATGACTATTGTGAGGGGGCATAATTTTAAGGTGGTTGGAGGAAGGTATAGGGGAGATGTCAAATGTAGATTCTTCACACAGAGTGGTGGACGTGTAGAATGCGCTGCCGGCAGTGGTAGTGGAGTCACATACTTTAGAGACATTTAAGCGACTCTTGGATAGACACATGGATGATAGTATAACATCTAGACACGTCTATCCAGGGATGGCAGCTGTTTTGAATGCAATAGCTGAATTTTAGAATTCAGGGCCATGGTGCTGCTAAAAGTCTGATTTGGCTTGAAAACTCTTTCCAACCTTCACAAATGAATTGCTCCATCAGCCCTAGTCTGAGGCTTCATTGATTTAAAAACATTTGACAGTCTGTTAGAGTGGTTTTGTTGGATGATTTCATGGCATGCTATACATTGCTTAAAATGTTCATACTGGGTCAAAATCACTTAAAATTTACCAAAGAATACTTTGAAATGTGGCTACAAATATACTTTATGTATTATCGAACGAAATAACTGTTGATTCTTGAACAACTTATTTCAATGCATCCCAAAAAAAACCAACAGGTTTGTGTCTCCAATTTGAGACCGATAAACATTGTCCGGTATGTGGCAGTTTTCAAAAACAGTTACAGCCAACTAAAAGTCTACTGAAACACTAAACTGCATATCAACCAGGTGGATGGTGATACTTCTCCTTTAAGTCTAGAGTCACTTTCTTTATCTGTGATTTCCTTTTTATTTGACTTATTTCCTATTCATGACATGAACTTCTCATAGCTGGCATTTAATAATTGTTCTGCTTCTACAGATTTCTATAATAAGATTTATCTCAGAAGCATTGCAGTACTTTACTAAGAAAACCTTATTTGTGTATGGTTGTACACACAACCAAACATTTTATTTGAAGCAAGAGGGCATAGGCATCATTCTCCCAGAGAATTTCAAAGCGCCACATTTGCAGTAATTATCTTCTGCAAGACAATACATATACTCTGACTTACAAAGCATGCACATTTGGCTTCAAGAATTAAAATTAATTCCATTG